ATGCTAGTGAGCAGGAGTGACCACTACCACAGGGATCGGCAGGCCATGGCCGAGTCAGCCTCCTGCTCGCTTTCGAACGTGAGTCCCACTGGGACCTGCCACACCCATTTGCGTACTGCTGTCTGGTGTGTTCCTGCCACAGCTGCAGATCTGGGTGTTGGTGACAAGAGTGGATGGCCTGGAAGCAGACAGTATGGACCAGCCAGCCCTTTTCAGGAAAAGTCAGCTGGTCTCTGGTCTGTTCTAGCATTGAGAAACTAATACCATGGGACCAGCGGATGGCATAATGGTTCTGTTGCTGGCCACCCACGTAGTGGACCATGGTTTGAGTCCTGGACCTGGATGCTTAAAACTCATGCCAGGTGTGTGTGTGTGTGTGTGTGTGTGTGTGTGTGCGTATGCGCGCCAAATCTCTCGAGGGGGGCCCAAAATCCCAAGAGGAGGATGGAGGAGAAGGGATTGTGGCATGGCCATCGCCCCCTGGGGTATGTGTGTGTGTGTGTGTGTGTGTGTGTGTGAGAGAGAGAGATTTCTCGCTGTCTCTGTGTCTGTCTCTCTGGCGAGCACAGGTGCCCTATAGCAAAAATCTCTCTCAAAAAAAGAAAGAAAGAAAAAAAACAATACTATTTAGCTGTGATCTCTTGTCCTTGCCACAGTGGATAATTTCCACCCCAAAGCTGATACATTTTTAGTTTCTGTCTCATGTAAAGTTTTCATAAAATTCGCTTGCATACCATATGAAGAGAAACGGGAAGATTTGTGTTGAGAAAATAAGGGAGAGACATTCCAGTGTGTAAGTTCACTTCATCTGAAAAAGGTTGACCTTGTGTTACTGAATACCGTTCATCAGTTGAAGATCACTTTTCAGAACACGAGGCGATTACAAACAGGGGAAATGGTTTTCTGCGTGAAGTTGAATTGTACGCCAGCCGGTTAAAGTGACCTCTTTGTAGTGTGTAGGTTGTGCTGGCTCTACATGGCAGCGTTAAAGACAGTTCATCCATCGAACCAGTTTAGATTCATCGTTGGTGTTTGTGGTAAGGGGCTCAGGCCAGCCTGTGGCACGGTGGCTAAGGCGACCTGACGCCATGTGTCCAGCTGTGCGGTTCTGGTCTCTGACCTGGAGACCCGAAAAGCACGCAGGCCAGCCAGTGGCATGGATCCCACATGGCCAACTGTATGTTCCAAGCCCCAAACCCGGAGCTCAAAAGACATGCCATCCCTCCCCTAGGGATGCTTTCTCACCTTCCCCACCCTGCCCCTGCTTCTGTCTCCCACTTGTGAGTGTGTGTGCCCTTTAAGAAAAACAAACCAAAACAACCACAACAACTAAACCATGCCAGGCTCCTTTGCATGCATTTCTAAAAATCCCAAACAGAGAAATGACAGGAAAGGGATTGCAGTGTGACCTTGCCACGTGGGAGGCACTTTCTCAAACCCCGCCCCTCTGTCTCTAATGGAGTACCCCTGCTCTCTGGCCACGTTAGAAAAAAGGTTTAATTAATTACTAATAAGCATTTTTGCTAGAATAATATATAGACAGTCTTCATTATAAATAGACCTCTTTGAGACAAATAATTGATGCAGCTCTTTTATGAAATGTGTTAAAATATGCATAGGCATTTTATTACAATATTTTCTTTTAACACATGTACGTAAATACACTTTCCAAATTGCCAGAGGGCTCGTGTGCTCATGAAGCGGGGGTGGGGGGCAGGGAGAGAGCACCCCCGAGCGGGGAGCGGTGACATAACACTCCCTTCTCCCTTCCTTCGTCCTGTTGGGATCTGGGACGTGCACTCGTGCCTAGCGTTCTTAGGCTGCAAGGGTGGGGTGTGAATGGTTGGCCATGTGGAATCTGGCTCCCTTAACCACTATGCCCCTACATTTGTTTTTGTTTTTGTTTTGTTTTTTTAAATAATTATTTTACTTAACTTTATTTATTTATTTTAATTTGACCAGAGAGAGAGAGACAGAGAGAGAAAATGAGAGAGAGAGAGAGAGAAAGCAAGCCACCAGATCCCGGACTTGAACCGCGATCGGCCATGTAGGAGTCCAGCACCCTTAGCCACCAGGCCACCTGCCGGCCCTCCTACATTTGTTTTTTAATGTTTATATTCAATTCGTCTTTTAAGTTCATTTTTTAAATAGAAAGTTAAGTTTTCTGTCGACCCTGCAACACTCATGGAGGCGTGGATTGTCAGGCGGAAAGAGACTTAAAAATAATTTAGCAGAAATGCCCTCATTATTTGTAGGGGTCAGGATCGTAGAGGGAGCGGGGCTGTTTTGTTTTTTTGAGTTTCGTTTTATGGGTGTTCAGATGGGAAGACTCGAGATTAGCTTATTTATCGATTCCACCCCTCTCTTACTGGTCTAGAACTTAATCTTTTTCAAACCTATCAGTGAGGTCCTACAGAAGTATTTGGTGTACTGATTACCTTATTTTCAGTTCCTCGATGGGAAGGAAGATTACGAAGACGGGACTTGTCTTTGGGATGCCAGTAGACTTATTTCATTGCTGCTGCCATTGTGCAGGTTATATTTGGAAAAAAGCTATGTTGAAATTCCTGAAAATTCTAGAGACATTCTCAACTGTATAAATGTTTATCCTTTGAAGGAGGAATTGATTGTTTTTTCCAGAGTAGTCAAAAGTTATATAAGAATGTAGTTTAGTAAAAAAAAAAAAAACTTCAGAAGATCTTGTCTTTCTAGCCTAAATTATTGAAAAGCTAAATCTAGATGAAAAGGATGAAGGGGTGGGGCTTGAAACTCAGCTTGAGGGTGTTAAAAAAGAAATCCACTGTGACTATTTTGTAAGCGGTTTTCTTACGTGGTTCCTAACAGCTCTGAAGCGATGTCTGCACCCATTCCAGAAACCCCACAGACAGCCGCAGCATCCCAGAAGTAAATGCTTACCAGACGAGGCTGATCCTCCTGAAGGAGGCCGGCCTTCCCGAGTCAGCAGACGGGGATTTCTTTCGGCATTATTAAGAGCAAATCAGTGATGTTGTTTTGTGTTAAAGCTTTAAAATTCTTTCTTTTCTTCCTTTGCCTTTTCTCCTCTTTTTAGTTAGACGTTCAGCTTATCACTGAAATCTGCTTTTGAAAAACAGCCTCTAATGACGCTTTTTTTTTTTTTTTTTTAAATAGGTATTGCTTTCACCGATCTGCCGGTAAGACATACTTTTCTTCAAAGCAGTTTTGTACTTTTAACTAAAGGAATGGTTAAGAACTGGGTACTAGGTGCTGGGAGCACTCACGGCGCAGCCTTGCAGATGTCGTGGGTCGCACGTGCACGCCACGCCGCACGCCGAGCTCTCGCTGTAGACCTTTCCGTGTGAAGCTCCACCTCGCCCAGTGCTGTCACAGACGACAGCCAATCAGAGTGGATGACTTAGAGTGTGCTTCTGACCTCACCATGCCTCCATTTGCGCTGGATGCCTTCTGTAGTCTTGGGCTTTTTAGCAGAGGGCCGTGTAACCACTCTAGTCACTTATTGACCCGCCGTGGGGCACGGTCTGTCCTTGGATGGCGTCTTTCAACAAAACAGGTGGTAAATTCTCTCGGAATTTAGTGTATTCAGGCTGGGGTAGTTAGAGAATAAATACTGCATGAGGAATAAGTAAACTACGATGTATTAAAGGGTTCTGAGTGCTCTGGGAAGGAAGGGAAGAAAGAACCTGGGAGTGCCGGAGGCAGGGCGTGGGGCCGTTGAGGGGTTTGCCTTTGCTCAGGGGGAGGTGAGACCCCGGAGGCCCTGGGGATTGGCTGAGGTATGGAGAACAAGAGTGTAGAGGCAGAGGGGAGTCAGAACAGGTGCTCAGGTGCGAGCACAGCTGGCCTGGCTGGAAGGGCATGACGGATGGGAGAGAGAAAGTCCCCCTGGGATTGATGAACGTGATCGGGGCTAGAGATGAAGATCGAGGAATCGAGGTGCTATGTAGTCACGAGGCTGGTTGGACAACAAGGGAGCGTGTGTAGGCACGGAAGAGCAGTGAGGAAGGCAGAGTGTGCCTCGGGTGGGTGAGTCAGAAATCATGGTGGGGAGGAGGTTCCACGCCATTTAGACCTTGCAGGCCACTTAAACCGAGGGAGCGAGGAAGACCCCGCGGAGTCTTAGTTGCGATGAGACGTCAGTTTCCACAGGATCACTCTGACCGCCAGGTTAAACAATAGACCACGTGGGGAGCAAGGATAAAAATAAGGCGGTCGGTAGAGATTCGGGAGATGGGTGGCGGTGACTATCAGCAATGGAGGTTTGGTTCTAGGTGTCTTAATTGACCACATCTAAGACACTACGAATGTCGATACATGTCATTATGGCATGGGGTGGGGGGACTAAGTGACTGTGAAATAATGCTTTCTTACAACTGAGAATTTCATTTTAATATTTATTTTATTTCATATATCATTTTAATCATTTTTAAAAATTTGCTACAGGGCACACTCACTCATCCGAAAGAGAGAGAAAGAGACAGAGGAAGTACGTTAGCTGCCAGGTCCGGGACTTGGGCTGCAGTTGACTTTATGGGAGTCCCGTGCCTAAACCACCACACCATGTGCTGGCCCCACCGCATAAGGGATCATTGCTGTACCCTCACAGAACGATCCCTAAGTGCTATTCAGAGAGATTTTTAATCCCGATCTCTTGTTGCATAGCTAACGAGGATTAGATAAAAAAAAATAATAATACACGTCTAAACTTCGTGTTCAGAGTGCAGCTTTTAAGCCGCTTTTTTCAAGAGTTGATGTCTCTTTTTTTCACCTGTTACTATCGTCTCTGATGTCAGGAAGATTTTTTTTAAGAGTTCTTCATTGTGAAGGACAGGCTGCTGTTCATATTGTTTCATGTTGAGAACATTTTGATCTTTTTTTTGCTGTAGGGTGCGTGCACTCACCAGAGAGACAGAGACAGAAGGCGAGAAATCACTGTTCAGAGGGGATGGCCACACTGCAGTCCTTTCTCCTCCACTCTCCTCTTGGGATTTTGGGCACACACGCACACACACCTGGCATGAGTTTTAAGCCACCGGGTCTGAGACTCGAACCACAGTCGACTATGTAGTCCAGTTATGTAGCCATTACACCACCTGCTGGTCCCATTGATGGTCATTTTCTTCATGTGACCAGAGGGTGATATTGACCAAAGATCTTTGAATTGCCGCCCAGAGTCTGATACTGCTTTTTCAATTGGTCTTTCATGTTTTATTGACTAAAGCGTCTTAGAGGTTGCATCACTCAGCTGTTTTGCCAGGAAAGACGTAAGTTCTGGGGGTTTTCCTTACATTGTTTCTTTAACCTGAGCCAGGGCAGGGCAGCTATTTGACCTCAGTACCTTTTAGGTGCCATTGACTCTAAAATGCAGTTCAATTTCAGATGTTTTGTGAGATGATGAAAGATGCAGGGCAGAGACTAGACCTCAATCCTGTAGAGTACTGATGTTCTTCATAAAATTGAGGGAGGGAAAACAAACCAGAAGAAATCAGAATCACAATAGAAAACGACTTTGCTAAGCCACGGAAAGTTTGGAATCTGCAGAGCAAAGTTGCAAACCGAATCACTTTATTTAATCAGCTGTGATGGAACAAGTGTTTATCTTTTTGAAAAAATACATAGTGTTAAGATTTTATCCTACGTTTTATACCAAAGTACGTTCTAGTTAGATCAGAGAGTTCAATCTGAAAAAAAATTAAAAAAAACCAACAACAAAACAACTAAATAATAAAACTACATAAGTATGATTCCTTAAAAATCCAACTGAGTACCAGGAGAATTGGCTGATAGACTGGATGTGAAAGTGTGAGGGAGTGACTTCAAGAATATTTTGGCCCAAGGAATGGACAGGTTGGAGATGTCGCTTGGTGCCACAGAGAAGGCTGTCCCCGTGAGTAGAACACGTTTTGAGCAGGAAGATGGAGAATTCAGTTCTAGATAAGTTCAGAGTTAAGTATGCAGTCAGTTATGGAAGCGTGGGATTCAAGAAAGTGATCTTGTCTAGAGAAGAATATTTGGAAGTCACTCTCAACGTGGGTGTCACCTAAAGGCCCGAGACTCATTCAGAGCTGCAAGGCAGTGCGCCTGGTCACAGAGAAGTGGCCTGCGGACTGGGTTCTGGGGTGCGTTGGTCAGGGTTCCCAGAGAGAACCAGCAGGATACATGTCTGTCTAGAGGAAGAGCCTCAGTACAGGAGGTAGCTCCCAGGAAGTCCCACGCTAGGCTGTCTGGAACCTGGAGAAAGCCAAGGGACCAAAGCAGGGAAGCCCAGGCAGTTGCAGTCCCAGGCTCGGAGGGGTCCTTGGGAGACTGCAGATCCAGGTTCTCTCAGGCAGACCGTGGAGTCTGGCTGGCTGGAGGGGCTAGGGCCAGTCCTGCCGGGGCGGAGTGGGGTTCAGAGATGGAGCCAGGTCCATGTGCAAGAGCAGAATACAACGAGCTCTGGCAGGAAGTTTGAGAGAGAGGGGAGGAAGCACACCCACTTCCTGTCGGCCTCTCCGGTGCTCCCAGCAGATTGGGTGGTGCCTACCTGCCCCTTCTATGAAGGAGGCTCTTCCTCGCCTGGCCCATCACTCTCCCATTCGGTCTCACAGATAGGCTTGTAGGAAGGGATCTCGGTGTGCTTTCTCACTGCCCCACCCTCTGTTTCTCTCTGGCGAGCACTATGCATCCTGTGGCAAATCTGCAAAGAAAAAAGAAATGTCAAGCCAGTCTCTCAGAACTAGGAAGTAGCATCATTTTAAGTGAGAATAGCTAGTCTTGGGTCGTCAGCAAAGCCACGACACATTTTTGCATAGGAAAACAGAAAAATAACGTCATGACTTAGCCGACAACCCACTGTAACAATAGGAGAACACACCTAATCTGAAACCGAGTTAGTTCATGGTTAAAACCACTTCTCATGCTGGCGATGGGAACTGAGGAAGAAAGACAGATGGGAGTCTTCAGAGCTGTGTAGGTGCCCCGTGCTCCCTGGTGGGGCAGTACCGCTCTAGGTAAACTGGTTTCTCTGCAAACATGCCCTCTCCCGGAATTTAGTGGTGCAGCTGCCAGCAAGAAGTCAGGTGATTCCTTTAAGGAGAAGACTAACTTTTTCCTTCTTTAAGGAGAAAAAGTGAAATTTAGCATGTGTATGTCCCAGAAGATCTTTCAGTCGTAAAAATGGAACATTCTTAGAGACACTGTTAAAACCTACAGCGGTCACAACAGCTACCCTCCTGCTGTTGAATGAAAGCTGTAGATGAGGGGAACTTTGGCGACTCAAAAGTGGGGCATAGAGATTCAGAAGGCACGGCGAAGGGTCAACCTGTCTGCCGCCACCGGGGACTTCCCCGAGGATCACTACTCTACTACCGAGCAGGAACAAAAGCTGCCAAGCACAAGTTTATGGGACAACCCCAGAGGAAGCAGCAGCTGACAGACGGGTAACTGGTTTCGGGAAGGGAGGAGAGGATGTCGGAGGCGCCTGCCGCAGCAGACCAGTCACGTCCATCTGCAGAGAAAACGTTAACGTTGTGGATGCCCTCATCGAAGAGGCCTGACCACGCACTGGCAGCAGCCAGCACCACGGGCCTCCCGGGTGGCCCAGTGCACGACTTCGACCGACCAACTCCAGTCAAGGGAATGTTCTGCTCACAGGTGTCAAGACTGTTGCACCCATAGCTGCTACAGACGAGAGCAGACCTGTCCATGGAAATAAAACAGGCGGGCGAAGGGCCCAGTGCCTTTCGGGAGAATTGTCCCAGGAGTGGGTGCGTGGCCTTGCCAGCACGGTCCCGAAGGCAGAGCCACGAGGGAGAAGCGGTCCAGCCGGAGGCAGAGCACTCTGGTCAAGAGCAGAGGTCATGGCTGAGGTGCTTTGCTTGAGGGCTTCTGGAAGGCCAAAGAATGGTGCCATGTGGTTATTATGAGAGTGTTTTGAGAAAGTTAGCCAGACTTGAGCAGACAAACACTCAGAAAAATGCCACCAGAGAGTCTGTCTCTACCTCAAGGGTGCCCCTGCTCCTTCCTCTCATCAGACAGGGGCACTTTGTGAGAGTCTCGGGGAGGGAGCATTAGGGGTCCACCTTACTGTCCTGGATCTGCTCCTTCTGACCTTCTTAAAGTCTTTAAAGGGCATTTTTCTTCACTAAATAATATAGAAAAGACTCCATTGACGTTGTGAACTCCCCCGGGTGCTCTGTTCTTTACGGACGAACTAAGTGGCTGATGGGAATCGCACAGATGTCTTGAACTTGACGGAGATACTGTTGAGAAATAAAGTTTATATTTGTATTTTTGTCTCTTGATTCCATTTTCCACAGATTCCTGAAGTCCCTCATATCTAGCTCTGTCTTTCCCAAGTTAGTAAAAGGAGATTTTTATTTTTCCTATTCTTTACTTCTTATTCTTACTTTCACATTCTTTTCATAAACTTGTGTTCTTCCTAATTCTACACTGGCAGGAATGGCTTTCTTTGTAATTTGGAAATATTTTCCTGGGAAGCCTTATTTCATATCACTTTATAACCCTAGATCCATGCTACCACAGATCTGGGTGAACCTTGAAGGATGCTGAGCGTAGGAGTCAGTCACCAAACGCCACACGCTGTGTCACTGCGTTTCTTCAGGGTGTCCAGAGTGGGCACGTCCGTGGGTAGAGTCAGTCGATAGTGACTGCCGGGGCTCAAGTGGCCGTGGAAGGAGGAATGGCTGCTATGAGTGTAGGGATGCCTTTTGGCGTGAGAGAAATGTAAAATTCGATGATCGCTGTACAGAATATACTGTAAAACATTGACCTGTACGGTTGAAAAGGCTGTGGTCTTTTAAAATCTAATCTAGCAAGTGAAGTCCTGTGTACGTCCTTAATCCCTGTCCCCCAAGTTCTCCACTATAGGTTGAGTTAATGGTATAAGAATTACAGGTACACGTCTAAGGCACCGAGACTGACATACTGTCTCAGGGATTTTAATGTCCTTTTGATTCACAAGTAGTGTTTAGTTTAAATAAAAAGGAATTTAAAAAGAAAGGGCAGGCAGGTGTTGTGGAGGTTAAGGCAAGGCCTCCCACATGGCCAACTTTGAGGTTCGAATTCTGGACTCAGTGGCTGGAAAATCACTCTAGGCACATATGCGTGCGTGCCCCAGATCCTAAGAGAATGGAGAAGGTTTACGGCATGGCCTTCCCCGGGGTGGGGCTAGGGGGTGATTTCTCGTTTACCCCCCTCTCTGTTTCTGGTGAGTGCTCATGCCCTGTGCAAAAACTAAAAACAAAAAAAACTTAAAAAGAGGAAGTCGTCGTAGTCGCAGTCATGTTCAGTGTTATGGGTTTAAATGAGAAGAGGAATCTAAATATATATACAGAAATATACAAGAGTTCTTTATAATCCCAGCCTCTTTAGCTATGCTAGCTCCCTGAACTTGAGCATGAATCCTCTAGCCCTCTTTCTGAACAGTAGAGACCAGAACGCTCCTGTAATCTTTGCATGAAAGCAGGGGGTCCTGGTACAGTCACTCCGTAACCCCCTTGGCCACTTAGTCATTTCATATATATGTGTGTGTGTGTGTGTGTGTGTGTGTGTGTGTATAGACATCTGTCTGCATCTGTGAGCACATTTCTGTTTGTTTCCGTGGACAGTAGATGGGAGGGTTCATGGTCTCAGTCCTCATCGCAGTAGTCATTCTGTCATTGAAGCTTTAACCTGACATGTGGGGGAAAATACTCAATTTGCAATCTAAACACTGAGGTTAAGTATCGCCACGTGGTCTTTTTATATTTGTTCTGCAAATTACCTCTAGCTATTGCCCTTTTTTAAAGAATTTGAACTACTGGGACCAGCAGTTAGCGTAATGACTATGTCGCTGGACTCCCACATAGTCGACCGCTGTTCGAGTCCTGGACCCGGTGGCTTAAA